GCCCAGGGTCCAGCCATGCCATCACAGACAATGGACCAGAGTCCACAAAAGGCAGAGTGATAAGAGAAGGGAGTGCAGTCTAGAAGGGTGCTTATATGTGTTGGCCCTGGAGAAGCAGACAGGCTTGATACAGAAGTGTCATCTGCCCAGGAGCAGATGGAGTTCAGGATCCTAAGCACATAGGTCAGGCTTGAGAGTGTGTGCAAGCTTTCCAGGAGGATTGAGGGACAGAGCAGCCAAAGACGAAATGGGGACACCACCACTCAGTGCCTCTAGGAGAGGCAGCAAGTGCAATTCTAGAAGCCCACATCTCAGACTGGCAGGTAAAAAGCTTGTGCACGTGGAAGCCAGACTGTGGTGGCCAAGGATGGATGGGAGTGAGAAATGTGGTTGAAACCCCAGCACTGGGGTGAAAGACGGGTGGGGATGCTATCCGGGGCCTGCCTACCCAGGCTGGGCATGAGGAACAGTGCAGGTGGTGAGGCTGGCAGTCAAGGAGGGTGGGGCTGAGGACTCGTGGTGGATTTCTGGGGGTATCAGTCATATAGATAGGCTATAGACTGCATGAGATGGGGCTGAAGGACCCTGAGCTCCTTCAAGCTTATGGAGCACTGGCGGGGAGGAGGGGCACCTACCGAACTGTCTAAACCTGAGCAGGGGCGGCAACCAGCCCACAGGTACCACTGTTCCATAAGGAGAGATGGCTCCCTCACTGCCTTGGTTTGCCAAACAGAGCTTAAATGTGAGTCACAGGCCAGCTCACTCTTGCCTGGAAGTTCCCTGGTTTCCAGAGTCTTATTCCACCTATGCCTCCCAGAAATTGAGCAAGAATGAGTTCCAAGGGCATCCTGGGCAGCCAGAAGCCCTGGCTGTCAGTCTGTCCTCTTGCCTCAGTCTCCGTAATAGCTCTGTGCTCACTATTCTTTTCTGATTTTGATTTCTGTTTTTTTTTTCTTTTTGGTTTTTTTTTTATTGTGGAGTCTTTAAAATTGAATTTGTCATAATTTATTGCCTGAAAATGTCATTTGTCTCAATAACTGATTTTGGGGGACACACTTAAATTGTGCACCTGACTCACTCTATCCTTGTTCTAGCTCTGTTGGGAAGCTGGTGGGGGGGTGGTGTCCCTGTACTGGGAGAGGAAGACAAAGATTAAATCTGGCAATATGGAAAACAGCAGACTAAAATTCTATTGCTGCGAAGTTGGAGTAAAAGCTTTAAAATACACAGTTTTTAAAATGCATAATTGAATGGGAAGAAAGTAAAGGAAACTGTCAGAGGCCAGAATCATTCAAGCAGGTAGGAGTGCAGACAGGGCTCTGTCTGTCCTGAGGGCATGGCAATCTCAGGATACCACCCTCTGGAGTATACTGTGTTTCTCAGGGAACACTCACAATGCCACAGTGAAAAGCTAGACCCTGAAAGAGGCAAGAATCCCAGACCCCATTGCTCCATCTTCAGCAGACAATAAATACCTAGGAAGCACCTTTATGACAGATAAAGAGGCTTACCTGTCTTGGACCTATTCTGAATGGAGCAGGGAACCCCTTGGGAGCATGTGTACCTCCCCTGATCCCAGCCAAAATTCCTCCTACTTGGGACATCTAAAACCCAGAAACCAAGCATTTAGTATAAAGAAGCCCCCAGCTGCCTGGTAGGTATAAAAACCAAACTTCTTTGATGGAATCCACCATGAATGGAGTTCTGATTGAATTACCAGATAAAGTTCTAGCAAAGATGAGCTCACACAGACAAATCCTTGTGTGTGTGATGAGCCATGAATGAGATGCAGGAGAACCTAGCTTTATCCTGAGAAGCCTACAAACTACAGCAAGAAGTGACTTTAAAAGGCATAAACCCAAAGAGAAATGTATGCACAAATATAAACATAATCACATAGATGGATGGATGGATGGACAGAGATGGACAGATACATAGATGACAGATAGATAGATAGATAGATGGATAGTTATAGGACATGTTTATAATAATTGACTGTTTTTTGTTTGTTTTCATTTTATTAGGATATATTTGTTGCACAGGGGGGTTCATTGTGACAATCCAAACAGGCTTATATTGTGCATTGTCTAGATCACCCCCTCCATCACCTCCCCCTCCCCAACATTTAAAGAAATTGCAAGAGGTTTCTTTGTTCTGTTCCATATAAATATATGAAGTGCATCCACCATATTCCCTCACCTTCACCTTCATCCACCCACTCCCTCCCACAAGTGCCCCCCACACACTGTACCTGTTTTACAGTCGTCTTTCATTATTAGTTTCAAAGTCAATGTTCGAAGGCATTTCTCAACGTACCCCCGCTATGGGGTACGTATGTTGTAGGGTATGTTGTCGATACTTTGACTTTACTGTGGTCAGTTCACCCTTTCCATTGCTCTCCCTCACCCCTTCGCTCCCCCCCTCATTATTCAACAGCTTTCAGTACACATCCTTATGTCCTCTACCTGCACAGATGTGATGTTTTATGATATTACTGACGCTCTATCATTCTTTTTTCCTTTCCTTCCTCCCCCAAGTTCCACAGAGCAGCTCCACTGTTACAAACAAGTTAATAGTGGGACTTTGGAGGGGACTTGGGGGAGGAGAGAGAAGAAAAGAGAAGGATAGTGTGAACAATATAGAAATACATCGCACCTGTGTAGGAAGATGACAAAACAAAACACTCTGAAAGCTGTTGAATAATGGGGCTGGGGGAAGGATAAGGGAGAGTAATCCTTCTAACCAGAAGGATTAAAATACAATATATCCATTGGTGAAATACCATGGTAAAACCCCACTGAACAATGAATATCCATTTAAAACTGAAGAACAGGCATGTAAAATAGGTACTGTGGTGGGGGATCAGTGGGAGGGGGAGGCTGAATGGAGGGGTTAAAGGAGGGTGAATGTGGTGGATGTACTTTATATACTTGTATGAAATAGGTCAATGAAACCAGATGAAATCATTTTAAGTAGGGAAAAGGGGGTGAAGGAGAGTGATGTTGGGGGTGAATCTAACCCAGGTACACTGTAAGCATTTATGGAAATGTCACAATGAAACTCCCCCACACATTTAAAAACATTTAAAAATGTTTTTTTTAAAGGCACAATACCAACAAAGTCCAGGAAAAAGAAGGCAGAAAAAACAGCAACAGAAACTAAGGCAATGACAATGCAGACCCCAGAGGGCTGGACCCAAGCTGGCAGTGGAGGAGCTAGGCCTACTCAGGCCCAAGTGCAGGAAGCTGCAGTTGCTCTGGTGGAAGGCTGTCCAGGAGGTGGTGGTAGAGCCCTGGAGTTTACCCCAAGCTCTTTAACACAGCTCTCCTGAGCCCTGAGCGCACCAATGCAGTCTTTTCTGGGGGCATGTGGGGGGAGGGGGAATCAAGGTCTCTGACCCAGAGTAGACAGAAGCCCAAGTGGTTGAAGTGAAGACGGAAACACCTGTAACCCCCTCAGCAGATTAGAACAATCACAGATGACCCTGAGCAACCCAAGAAGACCAAAAGCAAATGGTGGTGCCCACAAGAAAGCCTAAAGAGGGTAGCACTCACCATCCTCAGTACTTCCCATCAGCTAAACAATTCCAGTGTTAATCAAGAACAAAACAGGAAGGGTTTACACATCTATGGAAGACGGAATTAGAAATGGAGTCAAACAAGTCAAAAAAAAAAGTCTACTCAGAGAAAATAGAGAGGTTTCTGGAACAAGAATATATGTCTCCGTGAGATGAACAGAAAAAATACATCCTGGATATGGGAACAGAATTTCATGAGAAGTAGGCAGAAACTGAAAGGGGAGGGAAGGGGACGGGAGGGAAGGGGAAGGCGAGAGGAGGTGAGGAAAATAGACCATTTCAGAAGGTCTAATGAACAGGTATATAGAGGACAAAAATTAACAAAATCTGCATGTTTCCAGAGGTGGATCCTCTGAGTCCATGGGGTGTTGTCCCAAAGTATAAAGAGAAAGACCCAAGTCAAAGCACACATCAAAGAGCAGGTTCATCAACAACAGGCATCCCAAGAGCAAGAACACCAGGAAGTGTCACATCAAAGGGCTGAGAACTGAATGACTCTGAGCACCTCAGGAGTGACTCTGGAAGCCAGAACACAGCAAGCGAAATGTCAAGAGAAAGAAAGATGATGGCCAACTGCAATGGACTGAATATCTGTGTCCCCCAAAACCCATGTGATGAAATTCTATCCCCCAGTATGATAGTTTTAGGATGTGGGAACCCAGGGAGTGACTTGGTTTAGTTATGGTCCTGATGGGACTATGCCTTTATAGGGAAAGGAAGAGACACTAGGGCCTTTTGTCTCTCTGTGATGTGAGGACACAGAAGAAGACAGTGTCTGAAAGCTAAGGACAGACCAGCCCTGCAAACACCTTGGACTTTTAGACTCCAGCACTTGTGGAAGAATGAATGTCTGCAGTTTAAGCTGCCTAAGTTGGGATTTTTGTTTTGACAGACTGTGTAGACTAACAATGCCCAAACATAGACCTCAACACTCCTCTCCAGCATGAGGGGCTGTAAAGACCCCTTTACACCCACAGGACCCCCAAGGTCACCTCTTTTTCCCCTTCCATTATCAGCTGCCAGAGTCCCTGATCCATCAAAAAGAGAGAATGAACCAAGGGAAAGGAGACCATGTCATATGAGAGACAAGAGGTTAACCACAGGAGAGAGACAAGGCCGGAGAAGTCCCCAAAGGTAGAAAGGGTCAGCCTTGGAGGACAGTTGAGCTGACCCTCAAATGGCCAAGACCTTGGACTAGAAGGATTACCTCAAGTAGCTTAGACAACTCATGGAGAATGTTAGATTGAACATGTATAAAATGTAGAATGGAAAGATGTACAAAAAATAGTACAAAATAATATAAAGATGTGTGTAGGAAGGACAAAGTATCTTGGCTCTGGACAGCATTTACAAGGAATGGAAGGGATGTGACAGAGACCAAGCCACCGTCCACTCCTGCACAGCAGTGGCCCGCCATTCCTACCTTGTCATCGTCCTCACAAGTCATGACATTGGAGAAGGGGATCTCAGCTTTGAACATCTTCCGACAGTGCATGAGCTGCACCAGCAGGTAGCAGACAGTCTTGAACTTCATCCTCTTGGCCGGCTTTATATCTGAGAGAATCAGGCCTGGGAATATCTGTCCAAACAATGAGCTGTTGATGAGACATATCTTGCCATTCAGGCTAGAAGCATGACCCTAATGGCAAGATCCCCAGGGCTTTGGGATCTGTTTGCTTATTGCCTACTGTGAGGGGAACTCTGCTAGGAACCGCAATGACCAAAAAAACCTCATATCAGGTTCCTGAATATCCAACTCCCAAATCGCACCCAATGCCTCTGAAAACCAAGGGTTAGGCATCAAATACCAGGCAGAATGGAGAGAGGTTTGGAACACTGGTCAGGAAAGGATCACCAGTACTTTGTGACTTCTGTTACCCCATCAAGGTCTCAGTATGTTCCACTCTACTGGGAAAGAGGCCATAGGCCTGGAGTTGGGTGGTAGTAGAGTCAGCACCTGATGATGCTAAGGGCCCCACACCTCACAGACTTTGTGTCCTGGGCTCTGATCTGTACCATGGACAAATATCACTCATCCACCCCCTTGGGTCTTTTCAAGACCATAGTGAAGAGGGACCCTAAGAAAATCCTACAGATAAATACACAGTTATCATTCTTGCTGGTCTCCCATCATTCTGATGTGAGAAGAAAGCTCTGCTCCCCACAGCAGTTGTGACCCTATCTCTTCTCCTCCCCAGGACACAGCCTGATCTGGAGCCACCCCTTTCTTGTCACCCTCACCACTTCCCACTTTCACTTCCACTGGCCATACAGGCAGGTGTGAAGTGTGTAATTTTAAAAGAGAACATCCTCCTGCTTTTTGGTATTCTTTCCTCTTCACTATCCAAAGTTCTCCAAACAGGGGGCTGCATGCTCTTTTGACCTCATGGCCACTCATCCTCAATCACAGGACCCCAACGCTGTGGCGACATGACCCAGCCTGGAGGCTCTTCTTTCCTCAGGATGAGTCCCCTGACTCTTGCCCCGTCAGCCCTCATCCTTGGTGGACCATTCCAGGTGGTTAGTCAAGGAATCCCTCTAATCTAAGGACTCCAGATCTACATACCAGTTTCTCCCAGGCGATTGGAGCTGCCCTTAGGGACCATCCCACCCTCTATTCAGTCCCTCCCATCTCCCACCAGGCTTGTGAAGACTACAATGACAATAGGGAGCCCAGCTGGGGAAAAGGGGTGACAGTGAGAGCTCTGGGAGCTAGGAGGGCATAGCCCTGCTCAGCCTCACTTCCCCCAGAACCTTGGATGGGCAATGGCCAATGTCAGGTTAGAAACAGCCCTCAACACAACTGCCCAGTGGTGTCCAAAAGTGAGGGCCATCTCCAAAGAGGCCCAGCCAGGCAAGCTGTATGCAGACCAGATTCCTAAAGTGGTGGTGGACAACGGTGACATTCAGTAATGGAAACTGCCCAGGGACACCAGACTTTATTTACTTAAGTATATCAAATTTTTCTTAAAAGAAAAAAACCCACAGAAGTGGCTCTAGTCCTTCACCTGAGCCTCCATTTTTCACCTGAGCCTGTGTCCTCATCTGAGCCTTTACCCTCACCTGAGCCCACACCTGAGCCTCCACTCACACCTGAACCTCCACCCGCACCTGAGCCTCCATCCACACCTGAACCCTGGAAGCTACTCTGTGACCTTCAATCATAATCAGATCACTTTTCTCTAGGGTGAACTGAAGTGTCCCACACAAGGTGAACCCAAGCCCTGTGTGCACAGCCCCCCTAGGTTCACAGAACTCTTTACCCCTGACCCCCTGCACAAGTTCATGCCCATTTTCCTGAGGAATGAAGCAGTGAACGTCTAGGAAGGGGAAGCAGGACAGGTGGTCCAGCCCCAAGACATCCCCAAATCTCCAGCTGGGGTCTCCCCTCTCCTTTGACTGGCCCCCCTGTCCTGCTTGCAAGAAGCAAAGTCCCGGGCCCAGTGTTAGTGCAACACCCTCCCTGTTATAGCAAGTGATGGGAGGAGTAGGTGAGAGCAAAACTCTGCCCAAATGAGGCCGTTTAAGGACCAATAAAATGGGAGGGGGGATCCTGGATGCCCACCTTTCTCCGATGGGATGGCACAATGAAGAAGGTCTCGATGTTGTGAGTTTTCAGGAAGCTGTTCCTCTCATGCCCGTGACCTGGCTCTACCTCATAGTCCCCATTCAAGCACGCAAGGGTTGTCTTTGTGATGTGAACCTTCCTACGAGGAAAACATGCAGAGATGTGTGTGGAGTGCTGAGCCCTGCTGCTCAGGCTCCCAACAGATCCTCACTGGGCCCATGACAGAGGCTTCCTTGTCCAGGGCAAGACTGCAGAGGAGCGTTCACGTTCCCTGTGCATGCCCCAGGTGCACTCCTGCACAGGAGAAAGAAGAGAGGCCCAGGGTAAAACATGCCCAGGAGGGCACAGCAGGAGTAGCTGAATCAAGAAAAAAACCACAGGAACCAAAGGGAAGAAAAATATGTCAGAAGGACACAATAGAGAAAACAAGAACAGGAAAAGCAGGGTGAAGGGAGGAAGAGAAAGGGAAGAGGAGAAAAAGGGGGTACTTCCTCCAGTGTGTAGGCTAGCCCAGTCTGCAGTGACAGGTCAGGGCTGGTTGATAGCCAGTGAGGTGGACATCAGGCAGTGGGAAGTGGTGTGTGTGTGAGGCCCAAGGACAGGAGAATCCCTTGGAAAAAAACACAAACCCAAGGAAGTGAATGAAACACCTGTAGCCTCTGCTCCTTAGCCAAGTCCAATCACATGGACTTAGACTTTTTTTGGGGGGGCGGGGAGGCACTGTGATTTGAACCCAGGACTTCATACTTGCTAGGCAGGTGCTCTTACCACTTGAGCCACTCCACCAGCGGCACATGGACTTAAGAGGCCAAAAAGTAGGCTCCCTGGGTTCCAAACCATCCTTGCCAATCTGATTCTTCCTGGACAATTAGACTTCCCTCAAGTTCAAGATTAAACTCTACAGCTGGCTGAGGATGAAAACAGGGAGACCCCACTGTGGTGATGACAGGGTTTGAAGGACAGACCTCCCAAACTCACAGGGATTCCAGGAGGGAGGACAGGACAGTCAGCAGTGGCCTCTCCCAGCAGTGGCTGCCTTATGATCCTTAGAGATAGGGCAACAGAGAGAGGGAGCTGCCAGCTGCCAGAGGGGTTCTGAAGTCACACACTTTCCATGTACATGTTTGAGAAAATGAAAGCAAACTGTAGAATGGATAAGAAGCCACGAGGGTGGCAGGTGCAGCAGATGAAGGTCCCTTTACATATTCGGTCTTCTCATCCGACCTAGGCATTCTGCACACATGCACAGGGCCTTGGCTAGTGCCAGGGAGGGCAGAAGTGGGCTGGGCAGGACCACCCACCCCACAACACAGGAGTGCACAGTGCCAGGTGCAGCAGGGACAGGCCAGGATGCCCTGAGGTCTTGAAGTAAAGGGTCAGATTAGAACCTGGCACACATGTCCTCAGAAGCAATGCTTGTAGTGGGGCCTTGAGCAAGGACACTGCACAGCCACCCCCCCCACTCAGTCCCCAGCTTACCCTGGCAGGCCAGCAGCCTCCATGACATTGGCCAAGGTCACGTCATTGGACCACACGTCATACTGCCACTTGCGCAGGCCCAGGACGCCACAAAGAACCCTTCCGGTGTGCAGCCCCACACGCATGTTCAGGTCCACCTCGGTGGCCTCGGCCACAGACCTGCAACACAGGCATAGGGCGTGGGGCTGGGGTCTGCCCTGCACCTGTCTAGATGGTCACTAGACTCTGTATGACAAGGCCATGGGTGTTGGGGAAGCTAGGCATTGTTCTTGCTTCACATGGCCTTCGTGAGGTCATGATGAGACAGGTGCACTGAGTTCTCTTGGCAAGGTCAGTGCATGTCAGCCCTTCACCACACCTGTGAGCTGAGGCCCCAGCTACCTCAGCTCTGTGGAGCCCTCCATTGCGTCCTTCTCCACCTCCCAACTCAGGGAAGTGCCCAAAGGGAAATGAGCCCAGGGCCTCCAAACGCACACAAGTCTTGTCGCCAAGGGAAGGGGCTTTGGAGTATAGTGTCCAGTCAATTTTGGACATGCCACTGCCAGTGTCTGAGCCTATTTCCTTGCATGTAAACCAGGCTCTGCCTACACTAACTCTGACCATCTCTGAAATTAACTGCACTATCCAAGTGCACCCCAATGCAGAAGAGAGCGGCCAACTTTCTGCTAACTCGTTCTATTGAATTAAATGTGAAAATTCCCATGGAGGCTGCAAAAAGGACTCTGGAAAGCACAGTCCACTCCTTGTCACTGTTGGGGGTGACCAAAAACCCAGCTCAACCCTCACTGTGCCCTGACCCCCACTCCCCGCTCCACCCTGCGGTCCTACTCCGAAGGCCTCTGTATACCACATTTGTCAGTAATAACACGGCGTGTGTGGACTGATTGCGCCCCACCTGAGAAGACCATGTCTGGCTCCCCTTCCCCTGGACTTCACTTCACAGAATTCCCACCCCACTCTCATACTGGAGATCCAGCCACAGCTAAATAAGCACCTGCTTTGTACATCGTCCCGCTTCCATACCAACCCCACCCCCAACCCCTCCTGAGCTCATCTTACAAACAGGAGCATCTCTGCCATCACTGCCCCCCAAAACACCAGGACACAGAGGGCCCAGTAGCCTCCAAGACAGCTGCTGTGTGTTTGAGGATACAAGATGGTAGAACAAGATACATCCAAGTCAGGGTCCTGGAAGTCCTACTGCAAGTTCAGCTCCAGTAACAGAAGTTGGAGGTTAGACAGTTGCTACATCTTTGAGACCTATATTTTATGCATTCTGAATGGAATCTTTCATGTTGTCTTTCCCTAGTAAATTGCTAATCTCTAATAAGAGACACTGAGACAAATCCTAGGGTTAAAACTTGTATTCAAGTTCAAGACTCACAAAGAAAATACTGTGAGAAAATGTAGATGATGAAATGTACCAATGGTGTTCCCATGGGCTTTCAGCTTTTAGACTTCTACAGTCATATTGGGGTAGACAGCATGGCAGCTGTGGGCACTCATGTCCACCCCTATTCCCAAATCCTCTAAAACACCCCCACAAAGCAGCCCTTCAGGGTCCCTGTAAGCATTGCCATGGCTAGCCTCTAACCAAGTCCATGATGCCCCAGGTGTCTGTCACCAGCCACTGTCTACAACACTCTTCACCTTCAGTCTTTCCCAGCAGGTTCTCCCTCCAATGTGTCAACAGTGACACCATCAGCTCTGTGGCTGGTTAGAGAATTGCTCTCTATAGAAACCGTCCCCAACATCTCTCCCCTTTACCACCCCCGCCCCACCCCACTTCAAGCAATTGCAAGAGGTTCCTCTGTTCTATTTCACATAAGTATATGAAGTCCATCCACCATATTCCCTCACCTTCATCTCCTCCATTCCCCCTCCCTCTCCCACAAGTACCCTCCCAACACACACTGTACCTATTTTACAGTCCTGTCTTTCATTATACCTAAGTTGTATCCCCACTGTGAGTCTACTTTACTTTGGTCCATTCAACCCCTTCCATTACTCTCCCTTACCCCTTTACCCCCCATCCCCTATTTTTCAGCAGCTTTCAATACACATCTTTGTATCCTCTACCTGCACAGATGTGATGTTTTATAATATTACTGATGCTCTATCACTCTCTTTTCCTTTCCCTCCTCCCCAAGTTCCATGGAGCAGTTTCACTATTACAAACATGTTCTACATACAAGTTTGTACATGGTCATGCTTGTTTTTGTGTATATGTTTATCTTTTGGCTCTGTCTTCCACATATGAGAGAAAACATGCAGCCTCCTGTACAATGAATATATCCTAATAAAAAAATATAAAAAAGAAAAGAAATGGTACATCCAGTGCTGTCCTGAAGAGCCTCCACGTTGTCACTTATAACTGGAACAACCAAGCTGGCTTTACCTAAATCCAATAAAACCTCCAATTTCATTTCCAAGGAACCAGAATTTCCACTGTCATTTTGACTTTATTGATCTAAATTTGCTTATTTATCTCAAGTATTTTATTTTATTTATTTTATTTTATTTTATTTGATGGCACTGGGGTTTGAGCTCAGGGCCTCATACTTGCTAGGTAGGCACTCTACCACTTGAGTCACTCCACTAGCCCATCAAGTATTTTATATGCAGGAAAAAAGCCAGACTCTGGCTCACTGCAGCCCTCACCTTGGCCTTCGGTGCTGAACCTCAACAGGGTTGGAAACAAGGAAGCAGCCTACCCCACAGCACAGGGGACCCCTGCCTGCCCCTTCTTATAAATAAACTCTATTAGAGCCAAAACCTAATCATGATTACACTGTGACTCCAAAATGAAAGGACAGAGGTGTACTTTTGGTCATGAGTCCAACGAACACCTACCAAGCTTTCTCCCTTCTGCCATAATTTTCCAAGCATTGGGTGCAGTTGTGCACACAACAGAAAAAAACACACATTATTGCCACCTTACTATTACCTAGGCAGAATTTTCTAGCAATGGTAACAACACACATGTCTACAGCAGTGTCCAGCCCCACCCCAGCCAGGTAGAATGGTTTTAACTGCGTACGTTCAAAGTCATGACCTCAACTTAGTCTCCTCTCCTCCCCTCTGGGCCTCAGTTTCCCTACCTACAAAATTGCAAGTTCTCAACCTGGAACATAGGGACACTGAGACTCCTACAGGGTCAGGTTCTGAGCCACAAGTGGACGAAGAGGGGAAGGGTCCAGGACTCCACTATGAAGTAAACCTTCTTCTTGTCTTTGTCAAGGAGATACCTTGCTGATATGGTTTGGATGAGAAATGTCCCCCAGAGGCCCATGCGCTGGGTCACCTAAATGTACATGTAGCCACGTGGAAAGAAGTGAGGTCCCTGGGGGTGTGCCTGTGAAGGCAACATCGGGACCCTGGCCTCTCTTTCTCTCCCCTGTTGCTCCCTGGATGCTATAAGGTAAGCATCTTTGCTCCCCCATGTCTCCTCTCATGATGTTTTGCCTCACCATAGACCTGAAAGCAACAGAGCCAAAAGACCATGGACTGAAACAATGAGTGACAAACTTTTCCTCGTTGCTCAGGTATTTGCCTCAGTCATGGGAAGCTGACCAATACACCTCACCTGTTTCAGGGGGCTTCACTGCCACTCCGTGGGGTTTACTCTGGAGCTGTCTATGCTAGTGAGTCTTAGACAAACAATGCCCACAAGTTCCCAAATGATCACAGTGAACAGTGACATGACGACAGGCCTGGGTTTAAAGGTTCTCACAGGAAAACATGGTGGACATTTCCATTCTTTTTTCCCCCATAGGAACAAACAATCTATAAAGTAACACAAGATTGTTACTCACAGGCTTGACAAGGAAACCATCTTGTCCTCCCCTCCACCCCCCCAGTCAGCTGAGAAGTCAGGTACCAGTCTGGCTGTACCCTGCCACACCTGCTTCTTTAACAGTTCATTCTTTCTTTCCCCTTGGGTCCATGCCCTGGCGTTTCAGAAGTCCATCAATGTGTACAATGTACACAAATACAAGAATGGATTGTCAAGTTTTCAGCAGCAAGTGACCCTGCTGTCCATGCTGCCAGGGAAGCCTCAGCCAGAGAGAACTGAAAATGGAACCCCAGCTCCCAGGGGTGGGGACAAGTGGTTTCCCTACCTCACCCACTCCATCAGAGCATCCCCTGAACCCAAGAAGTCTGTATGAGATGCTTCCAGAATCTTCCACCAGCCAGACTGGCCCTTTGTGTCTCCAGATTTCCTCTGTCAGAATGGACTTCTCTGTGGCTCCATCTCTTCCCTGATCACCCAGCACAGAGTCCACCACCTTGGGCCCTTTTGAAAGAGGTCAGTCCATAACCTGCAGAATCTAGCTCCTTGAGGCCTGGCTTATTCCTCTGAGATGGGAAGGGCTTCCTAGAACAGAAGCAGCTCCAGAGAGAAGAAAGTGAAGCTGAGAGTCCAGGCCTCAGACTGCAAGGGACATGGCCAGCAAGGACCAGCATGAAGCCCTGCAGACACCTGAGCTCTGGTCACATTGCTTGTTTTCCTGAGTTCTTCTCAAGGAACTCTTGTGTTTCAAAAATCCCCAAATATTCTCCACTCTAAGCTCAGAGGGCAAAAAAAACACACACAAATATCTTCCTGTGTCTGGACACACCTTTGTATCTGATAAATATATTCTGTCCTGTCCTGTGTGTGTGTGTGTGTGTGTGTGTGTGTGTGTGTGTGTGTGTGACAGTTGGCTGGAGAACTGTTTTCTACAGAAATCATGCATCCAGAGTACACGCAGCCTGGAATGGTTGACAAGGAAGGACGCAAGTTGCCAGGAGTGGCCTTTCCTGGAAGCCAGGAGGTCAGCCTCAAGAGCTCACTCTGATGGCCCTTGGTTCTGTGACAATCCTAGGAGGAGGAGGGGTTTGTTGGGCAGGAAGCCATTTTCTGAGCTTGGGTTCTTGGTGAGACTTTCCTTCCTGCTCAGAACCAGGAACTCAGGCCCAGACAGAGACTCCAGGTCTGTGGGGATCCCTTCTGTCCTGGGAGTTCGGGTATCGGGAGCTCAAAGCTGACAGCAGCCCCAAAAGACATAGGAAGATGCAAACAATCCCAGGTCAGTCACAGCAGCCTCAAGGGCAAGACCAGAGACAAGGAGGCAGATAGCTGCTGGTGAGATGCAGGCGGGCAGACGGCCAAGGGGTCCACTTTGTGGAGCAAGGGGACCGTGGAGCAGAGCAAGAAGGGCAGAGTGAAGGGGTTGCAGCTCTGCTGGACAGATACAGGGTTTCCTGGGCAGCGACCAGGAAATTATTCAGCATGCACACAAGTGCCAAGAAAGCAAGACAGAGACAGGAGTGAAAGGAAAGGTTATCACCTGAGGCCAGAGCACCATGTGAGAGGTGAGTCTCAGCCAGGCGGGTACCAGTGGCTGCCAAGGAACCCCTGCAGGGACCCAAGGACACCTACCTACAGGGACACAAGACCACTCACATGCAGAGGCACAAGGCCGTCCACCTGCAGGGGAACAAGGCCACCCTCTTGCAGGGGAACAAGGCCACCCTCTTGCATAGGCACAAGGCCTTCTGCTTCACCTGGCCAGCCAGACCACTGGCCTAACTTCACTTGCATCTACCTGGGTGGCATGGAACAGGGGTCATGAATATTTCTCAAATGAATGAACTGACCTGTGTGCCCTTATAGCTTCCACCGACAAAGCCTCATTCTACCTCAAGGAGATCACACGGAAGAGCTGGGGTGGTACGTGATCTATATATATGTGATATCATCTGTGATGTGACAGCATGTGACACACCACACAGTGTAACATGGTTTGTAGCCTTGCTTCTGGTTGAAAGAGAACACAGCACCACCATCTACTGGTGGCATTGACACTTCTAGATGGACAGGGGTGCCCTCCCTGCCTATGCGGCCTTGTGACTCACATAAGTTACCTGGTGACTGTACAAATCCACACATCACCCCCTACCAGGCTTCATCAATCAGGTCTTAACCCAACCTCCTTTCTTTCCCTGCCCAAAGCTAAGAGGAGCCTAGATCTGTGAGCTGGTGATCTTTCAGGACTCATACCCAGCATCAGCTTACCTAAAACTTCTTTTCCTTTGCCCCAACAATCTGTTCTGGATCCACTGAGCCCTTGTTGGGCAGTGAGTAAACAGACTTGGGGGTTGATAGCTGTATGATGGTGTGATGTCACATATAACATGATTATGGTGGTACAATGTGACATGTATCATATATAATATATGATACATGGCATGATGCAATGTGACCTGGTATGATATGATATCCCCTATGACATGAACTGTGATGTAATAGATTAGATGATACAGGATGTGACATAACATGACATATGATGTGATACAAGATACATAATGAAGATTATACTCTGTGATGACGTGATATCTGATATGCTGTGACAGGATGTAGGTGACATGGTGTGTGGCATATGATATGGTGTGTGCTATTACATGTGATGTATGACATGACATCCTTCCTGGAAGAGAAGACAGTCATTGCCTTCTGAGTCTTCTCCAAGCCAGGACTCCTTCCTTCCTCTTCTTTCCCTTCTTCTCTCCCTCCTTCCCTCCTTCCTTCCCTCCCTCACTCCCTTCTTCCCTCCCTCTTTCCCTTTCTCTTTCTCCTTCCTTCCTCCCTCATTTCCTCCCTCTCTTCCTCTCTCTCCCTCCTTTCTTCCCTTCCTCCCTCCCTTGTTCCCAGGTATCCAGCCCAGCACTTCTGCACTGTCTGCTTTTCTCCAGGGCAGTGGCTCTTAGACTTGGCTCTTTATGGGAGTCACAAGGGGACTTTTCCACTTCCTGTCCTACAGCACAGCCCCGACCATATTAGAGGACCCCTGCCCTGCAATCAGGGCTCAGATTTGCAGCCCTGGCTCTGTCCTCAGGCCTTTTCTGTCATACTCTTCAGGGACAGTGCCTGGGTGTGGGCCACAGCAGCTGAGGCCACACACACAGAGTTGGGGGCTCACTCATCTATCTCCACAGCCTTGATCATGGGGACATTCAAGTGTGTTCTTTCCCCTGGCAGCTATGTCACACCATGTCCCCCATTCATTCTTGTGCTGTTACTGTCCATTCCAAGTGTGAATCCTCACATCAGTCCCTGAGAACCCATCTCACTGGAACCTACCCCCAGGCCACCATGTTCTGAGATGTCTTGAGTTTGGATCCACCCTACATCCATCCGTCAATCTGCAGCTACACACATCTAACTTGATGAGAGTATCTCTGTCCCCATTTCTGATTTGCACCAAGGTTGACCAAGAAAGGGCAGGCTAGGCCTCATAGATGTGCCACCATTCCATTCCCTAGGGACTCCCCCAGCACCTGAGGCCATCACCTGCCTTGGAAGAAGACGCACACACTCATTGCCTTGTAAGTGGAATTCAGCTGGACTTGGGCCAACCCTCTCTGAATGGTTTATCCAACTCCATTATAAAAATAATTTGGTTTTGCACCTCTCAGACAGACCTGACAATACACAGGATTCCTACAGCAAAAATATATCACAAACTGTAAGGAAGGGGTTTCACTGACACATCACTTCCCAACTCCAGGGGGACCCCCTGACCCAGCACCCTCCTCCTCCTCTTCCTCCTACTGCTGCTGCCTGGGCCTCTGCAGCCCTGGGCAGCCCTCCAGATGGCCCGGCACTTACGTGATGGTATCAATCATGTCCAGCCCCATCTCCACGCAGCAGTGGGCATGGTCAGTCTTGGGCTGGGTGAGGCCCGACACACAGTAGTAGCAGTCTCCCAGGATCTTGATCCGACGGCAGTGGTTCTCCTTCAGGGAGGCAAAGCACACATGGTCAGTCAGGGAAGCATTGCTGCTGCCTGGCAACTCGGCCTTATTCCTCTACAAGCCCACTAGAGACCACTGAACAAGTGGACAACTTACCATGTCTCTACATGGCCTCAGGATGATGGCCAAGGCCAGGCTCACCATCCCCAATACCCTTACCCACACCTCTTTCTAGTTGGGGTGTCCATTCCCCCCACCCTTGCTCTCTATTTGGCCAATTCTAGGTCCAAGTGCAAGGCCACCTCTGTGGGGAATTGGCCCCAACCCACTGAATTCATACAGTGCCTCCACAGAAAAGCAGAGTCAGGATAGGACTGAATCTCTGACTACAATCCCTATAGAAGCTGTTTGGAGGACGATAAATGGCACTCAAGTGATGAAGGATCAAGAGATGCCCAGGGGAATGACAAGTGTGACCATTCCTGCATGATACCACCAAGGTGTGTGCAGAGGGAGAACCCCCATCTGAACAAGGATTGATGGCAAAGACCTCTAGACCTGTGACCCATGGACACACATCCATACAGCAAGTGCTTGCAGGCAGACAAGGTCCATGTGATTCTGAAGAAATCACCTAAACAACTGTTCTAAAATAGCAATCCCCAGCCTGGAACCGGGTCAACAATGCATATGGGGTCACAATTCCAGTTCACCAGGGTCACACATGAATCATTGGTCCTGATATTTGAAGCCTAGGCTCCTCCTGACATCACTTTCATACCTGGTCATCATGCCAGCCCCAGTGAACACAGTCTAAAACAAATACTAATACATATATTGCTTTGTTTTATTTTTTACCTCAAAGATCCTGGGTTTTTTTCCACACACTTAAGAGATCAAAAAAGATGTTTGACCGTGCTTTTAGATGTTCAGAACATGGAGAGGTTCTGCCTTGAGTGGCTGCAGGAAGTACAGCAGGGAGAGTTTATAATGTCTGGCTGGCTCTGTGATCCACAGAGAAGAAAGTAGAAGAGGAGAGCAGGAGGAGTTCTAAGAGGCGTTCAGCTGCCCCCCCTCCCTCAGGGACCAGAGCTGCCCTCTCTCTTCCACATCTGGAAGGGATGACAGTGCTGGGAGAATCCAGGTAGGAAGGCCTCATGCTTGGCCAGATGGAAGACAGAGTCTAAACCAGCCTTGGACCTTCCTGAGTGGGTAGCCACAACCAGACCTATGGGTCTAGGCCACAGGGCCTTCCTCCTCCCACCACCATCACCACCACCATCAGCATATCTTGACTCTGCCTGGCCCCAGCAGGTCACAGCATGCTGGGAAGGCTGGTTGTGGGGAGGGTTGTCAAGAAGGCTTTGATTCCATGCAGAAGGGACAAAATTAAGACCCACCATTTTGTAAGTCTAGAAAGAACCAAATGGTTCATGGGCAGGATAACTGCTGCTGATTCTAGAACCCTAGGATGCTTCAAACCCTGCCAGGGTCAGTCCAAGACAATGGAGTCTAAAGAGACCAGAGTACCACATGGGGACGCCCCCCAAAGTGTACCTCAATTCTGAGATAGCAGACAAGTCCTAGACATGGAGCACCAAAGCCCTGGTGGGGAGGAAAAGGTGCGGAGGGCAAACCTAAATTAATCCAGTTCTTGCAGCCAGCTGACTGCATTAAAAAAACCAAGTCTGTTAATTTTGTAATATTGAGTGTGTGTCTATCAGTGGGAAAAATGAAAGAGGAAATTTTAGAAAACTCTATTTCACACAGCAGTGTGAATGACTACTAGGAGTGTGCACATATAACAGGGGTGGCACGTGAAGGGTAGAGAGGCACCCAAGGCCTCTGCAGACATCTGCCAATCCACAGGGATGGGTCCCTGGCTGTGGTCCCCAGAGGTCTGTCCAGTTTCAGGAAGGACAGACAGAGGGAGACAGCCTGCTCTGTCATCAGGGGAACACTTCTGAAACTTTCTTCTTTTTTTTGACAGTAAGAGCTTTGTGCTTGCTAAGCAGGTACTCTACCACTTGAGCCACTCCTCCAGCTCTTTTTGCTCTGGTTATTCTGGAGATAGGGTCTTACTTTTTGCCCAGGCTGGCCTGGACTGGAATATTCCTACTTAAAGTTCTCACAATCGATTCTCCTGTACTTCCTGAAGTAGCTGGGTGACAAGCATGCACCACCACACTCGACTATTTCCATTAAGATGGGATCTTGCTAACTTTTTGCCCCAGCTAGCCTGGAAACAGAATCCTTCCCATCTCAGCCTCCTACATAGCTGGAATGGCAGGTGTGAGCCACTAGCGCCACCCCCCCCCCCCCCCCCCCCCCCCCGCCCCGGCTCCAGAAAGTACTTTCATGTCTGCATTCGCTCCTAGGATCAGAACTGAATGAAAGAGGGGCAAAGTGAAACCCAGCACAAATGTTCAACTCCCCAGATGGGAAGAAGGAGAGGGGCAGGGTAGCCATCTCATATGTCTACCTAGGAGTATCTCACTGTGGAACTGGACCCTGAAAATATTTTATGTATCCAAAAAGCAAAATTAAATTGAAAAGTGATGCCTAAAAATCCAAACCAAAAATCTATCTGTTCCCACATGGGCAGACTGACCACACAAAGAAGCGTGATTCCAAAGGATGTAAAAATACACATTTCACTGTAGATTTGGTAGAATATAATCTGAAGATTAAAATCACATTAAGATACGTTAAAAATGGCAGCGCCAGTGGCTCACACCTGTAATCCCAGCTACTCAGGAGGCAGTGATCGGGATCAAAGTTCAAGGCCAGCCTGGGGAAATAGTTCACAAGACCCTATCTCAAAAAATACCCAAAACAAGAAAGGGCTGGCAGAATGGCTCAAATGGTAGAGCACCTACCTAGCAAGTATGAGGCCCTGAGTTCAAATCCTAGTGTCAACAACAACAAAAAGTTATATTAAAAATGAGCCCAAACCACAACAAGGGGATAGGACTTTGGTTACATGATAAGGCAAGTGCACACAAGGGAGGTATGAGGATAGGTAGGTAACCCCCCCCCAAAAAAAGATAGCATTTGATGGCTTCAATGCAAAGGAACTAATTCAGAAACTTTAAAGCAACTGAGGCCAATAGGAGAAGGGGACCAGGAACTAGAGAAAAGGTTAGATCAAGAAGAATTAACCTAGAAGGTAACACACATGCACAGGAAATCAATGCGAGTCAACTCCCTGTATAGCTATCCTTATCTCAACCAGCAAAAACCCTTGTTCCTTCCTATTATTGCTATACTCTCTCTACAACAAAATTAGAAATAAGGGCAAAACAGTATCTGCTTGGAAGTGAGGGGGTGGGGGCAAGAGGGAGGGGGTGGAGGGAAAGGGAGGGGGCGGGGGAAGGGGGGGAGTAATGACCCAATCATTGTATGCCCATATGAATAAAGAAAATAAAAAAAAAATGAGCCCAGTAGTTTTACCCTTGTTGATGACATTAGCCATGTTATTTTGAGCTTACTACATATAGAACAAGTACTATTCCTGCCTGTCTTCATTTGTGTGGGGTTACCCCAACAGAATAGCTGAGACTGGGTAATTTATAAAGAGCAGAGGTTTGTTTCTTACAATGCTGGAGGCTGGGAAGTCCAAGGTTGAGAAGCTTATGTTTGGCTTTGAGCTCCCATGATGGAAGGCAAAAGAACAAAAGAGCATGTGACAGAGAGACGGCAAGAGAGGCTGGAACTGAACTTGCTTTTGTAGCAACCTACTCTCACAATAATAACCTTAATCCATTCCTAAGGGCTGAGCCCCCCTGACCTAATCATCTCTTAATTTGCCCCACATCCCAACTATGTTAAATTAGGGATTAAGTTTCCAACACAGGAACTTTGAGGGACACACTCAAACCATAGCACTTGTCCTTAGGATTTTCAACATCAAGTAAAAGACACAAATATAAAAGTGAAGGGAGTGAACTGGGAATTGGAAATATCGATCTATACCTGTGGTTTAAAAAAAAAAAAAAAAAAACTCGTATCTCTGTCACTTGCAAAGCCCCACAGCCAAGGTCAACCCAGATTATGGGTGTAAAAGACCATTTTTCCCTAAAAGAAATTAGAGCATCTGGAAAAGTGCCCAAGCATCTGAATCAAGAGCCATCTCACTGTTCCCATCTCACTGCTCAGGGCTGAGGGGACAACCCAGACGGGCCTCCACTGACATGCTGGGAAACTGAACACCAAGAGTAAAGAAGGTGGTAATGAATCAGCATACATCCACTTCCCTTTTTTTTTTTTCTGGTAGTATTCAGGGCATTTCACCTGCAACATGAGCCACACCTCCAGCCCTTTCTTGGTCTGGTTATTCTGGAGACAGGGTCTCATTTTTTTGCCAAAGCTGTCCTGGGATGACAGGCATGTACCACCACGCCTAGCTTTTTTTCCACTTAGATGAAGCTCTTTTTTTAACCTGGAACTTTGATCTTCCCCATCTCAGATCCCATGTAGTTAGGATTATAGGTGTGAGCATGAGGACCCGACCATCACATTTTTAAAATTCCACAAATTCATAATGGGGCACTGATTCATTATTTTGAAAACTCATAAATAAGAGTCAAACATTTATTGTTTTTGAGGATAACTAAATAGCTGATGAGAGTAAACACTCTTCTTTTTCAAACATTATGAGCTAACAGACCAAAAATGATGTAAATAAAAACCACCATTTTGCAAACCCAAGAGAAATATGAAATCATGGTGATGCTTACAAGATAGCTGCTGTAAGATCTTTGGGTTCAGTACAGGTGGGGGCCAGGTGAGGTGCAGGTCACACTAGCAAGGTCCCAAGCCACCATTAACCTTAACCAGACAGGAAGAGGAAGGCACTAGTGTCCCCTCTGGGGAAAAGCAAAAGGATTCATACAGCCCCTGCAGAGAAAGTACTAACAAAAACCAGACCCAAGAACCAGCCAGTCAAGTCTAGGCCAGATTTCTCAGTTCAGAGGAGATGATGAAGGGGGTAGGGAACATAGAAGATGGGGAACAAAAAAAATGAGGAACCCTGTTAAAAG